GAAATATGGCTGAAACCCTCCGTCTATTTACGATGAATAACTGTCCCAGTGATAAGTTAATGTCCAGGAGCCGCTGCTCGAAGTTTTCAGAGAATAAGAATAGGAAAATCAGCATAAAAAGTAAGCAGAGGCAAGAGCAAGCGGAAAAGCGTCTGCACTGTAAGAAAGATAAGGTACACAGACATTTTTCTTAATACTCAAAATGGTTTCTGTGACACTTCCAGATACTGTATATGTCTTCAGAACCGCATTTTTCCAAAAAAACAAACAAACATATGGACAGACAAACTGAAAAGAATACAAGCATTTGCTGTCACTTAGTGTTGCGGCTGGTAAATATGAACCCTACCGGATGCTCTGATGGAGTTAAAGAGAAGCTCCAAGTGGTCCTGGCTGAACCTGTAGGTCAGGACATATCGCTGTCCTTCAAGCAGCACAGGAACCATCAACATCAACGTGTCGATATTGATGATGAAGCCCAGGATAGAGAGGAACCTTCAAAAGCAAATATTGTATTACTATGATGATCCCACCAAAACAGGAGACAAGAAAGCAGGGATGCAAACACATACGGTATAGGGTGAAAATAGTTAATGCTCCCAGAGCAGCACTTCTCAGGGAGCTGCCAGGGCAGATACAAATCCACATTTCACACAATTCACACAATTCACTTCATTGCCACATTTTGGGGGGAAAAGGGGACTGTACCCTAAAGCTGACTAGTTTGCATCCCTGATCTTAAAAGTATAATCAGTGTGAGGTTTAGGATCCTTAAAATTACTTTTAGGACACTAAACCTGCTTGAATTAATTCACCACCGAACATGCAGACCATGCAATACATACCATTTTGACACCTGCATCTGGGGGAACAAAAACTGAACACAACAGAGGAACAGAGACAAATTCGCTGACAGCAAACACATTGGAGCAAGATAGTGTATAATACGTACCACTTTATGAACTCAATGCAGAAGAGTAGGGCATCTCATGACCTCGATGCAGACAGGACAGAGCATCTTATGAACTCGATGCAGACAGGAAAACAGAGCATCTCAACTCGATGCAGAAGATAGTAGAGAATCACATAAACTTGATGATAAACAAGAGAACAGAGCATCTCATGAACTTATGTCATGGACTTTAGGGATGCACTGAAACCGGTAGAGTTGAGGTAACCGTTACAAATCTTAGATACTCAGTCAGAGCACCAAAGCAGTACTACTTAGTTTTACCTTAGATCATTTAATGATTGGTAAATTGACTACTTGTATACATCTAACGAAGAATAAATAAATAATAATAATACATTTGTACTGGGTATTGGCGACTACTAAAAAGTTGAGTAGTTGCACTTATACTTGTGTGGGGCGAAAATGGTATCAGTGCATCACCAACAGAACATTCACTATTTTAAAACACCTCTTTCTTCGGTAAAGGGGTGTGCCATCTTCCATCTTCAAAGTGAGCAAGTACCCCCTGGCTCTTGACAAGAACTCCCTGGTGCTTGTCCAATTCCTAGAACCAAGGGGGGCTTTGAACCCTTTGGCTCTGGGATTGCGGCTGTTCAATATGTCAAACAGCCTGTCCGTTATCTATAAACAAATATCTAAATGAACTGGAAGCACTGAAATCATCACCATAACTGGGTGTCAACAGGTATCAGATAGTAAACATCCAAGTATGAGGAATAGCGATAGAACTATATTTCCTCTGTGGCTGTGCTTTTTAAAATGAAATTGCTGCACTGCTTTAAACCTGTAAATCTGAGATGTGACAATAAGGGTGCTTCTGAGATAAGTATGAGGTAAGTATAAACATTATCCAAGTGCTTGCATATTGTTGAATTTGCGGATGGTCATAAATATTTAATCATTCCCGATGCCCAATTCAAATGTTAATGTATTAATGTTGTGTTATATAACGAACAACAAAAACAGAAGATCTACAAACGGTGTGTTTTCACGTTTTTGTGAAAACTTAAAATCTGAAATATCTCACCTGTGATGACATGACAAAATGGGAATGCCACCAGGATCAAATGGGTTAAAGCAATTAATCACTCAAATGTTGTTAAGAACAGTAGAATATTGGAAAATGAATTTTGGTCAATGATGCAAATCCCTAGCTGTATTACCTCAATGAAGTCTGTAGTAGCCTCACAGTCTTTGAACTCTGCATAGCCCATCTCCCGCAAGGTGCGGAGCGCCACTGCCACAGAGTTACTCAAAGTCTGAGCAGCCAGGGAGACCTTGATTGAGTTTATAAGGAGATAGTTCAAATGAAGAGCACATTAGCTCTACAAGATACAAACATCATCACCACGGATAAAAACACAATAAAGCCTTAGAGCCTATTTCTATTGCGGCCCTCAGAGTGTTTATATATATCTATGCCCACATATGTGAAAACACTTTACGATCAACTGTACTGTAGTGCCGAGAGAAGGGAGACGGAGGCGGTGCATCGGAGGTGCAAATCTCTCTTTATTGGGGAGCAGAAATCGACGTGCTGTCGGGTTGCAGGAAAGAGGAGAAGAGAAAGTGAAAGAGGACGACACACAGTAGGTACCCCGGAGGTACCGTCAACATATATGTCCGGGCGGAAACAATACCCCCAACCTGTAGTTCCCGGATTGAATTATGTAACCCCAGTGTATGAATCAGTGATCACTACAGTACCTTCATTTAATATTCAGCAGTAATAATATCTCGACGTCTATAGATGTAGTGTTAAAGTCCGTAGGTTTTGGTGTGCATGTCATTTTCACTTCACATTCAGAAAACGTAATATTAGCCACATGCTAAATACTGACCGGATATGAAGGATTTTCAGAATAAAAGCTTGGCATTGAGATTTCATGAGAACTTCTGGGTTTTTTCACAATAAAACAGCTTTTAAACTGACGATATGTTTTAGACTAAATTATGCTATTAAACATTGATTTTAATTTCTAACAGACTCTAGGTCAGATTTCAGCAGGTCCTTCAGCTCACTGACTGCGTCTTCTACAGGAACCACCTTGTGACTCTGGTGGAGAGAAAACTCACAGACAGGACACACAGCTCTCTCTTCATCCATACAGAACAATCTAGGCCAGACGTGTCAAACTCAAGGCCCGCGGGCCAAATGTGGCCCGCCACGTCATTTTATGTGGCCCGCGAGAGCTCGCAAAGAATATAAACAGTTTATTATACGGTTCCATGCCGTTTAAGCACGTTGCCCATAAACTGCATGTCCCAAAATGCATTTCGTTTTGTGACGTGCGCACTGAAGCGACTTCCTATCAGCAGCGGCACTCTGAGGCGGTGAGTGACCACTGTGGGTGTTTCTCAATCGCGAGTAAAGCTGCTTCAGAGCCACTATTTCTAGCATACTACGTCATCGAGTGCCGCCGAAGTACTGTTCCAATCTCCAGTATACTTGGAAATCTACCGAGCCCGGCGTACTCCGTTTGGAGAAATATCGAGTGTGCACATGAGTAGACTTCGCGGTCTTAAAATCCCCACAATGCTTTGTGCACGGACCAATTTCCCCAAATCTGTGGCGGAAGATGTAAGGCGGGGCCTCTCATATGACGCACAACTGCACACTTGCTAGCGTGTTCCACACTTCGTTTTCCGAATGCCAGGAAGTATTCTTGACTCGCTTCTGAAGCAAGATGCTCGGCAGACATGTGCTACCAAGCAAGCGTACTCGCGATTGAGAAACACCCTGTGTGACTGTGAGTGACACAGAGTTGAAGGAACAGAATTTACAGCGACACAGAGACACCAAACACGGAGCAAATTCTGCTTCAGCAACCGAGACAAGCAACTCCAGTCCCAGAACAAACAGACAGAATGACCCGCTCTTTAAGAATCAGTCGGTGTTGCTGCGGCTCAGAGACACACATGGATTTATTATGTTTTAGAAAAACTCGCGTTACGGTTATTTCCTGTTTCTGGTTGATTAAAATATATGAGGTCTTGGCTTGCAGAGTATGAACGTCTTTTTGCTATATTCAGACGATAAATACTTATAAATACTTGTGTAAAGTTTGTAAAGGAAGGAGGAAAACTTCCGCGATCCCTGTCTCACTCTGTTCCTCCTCAACACGCCGCCGCCCCCCCCCCACTCACTGCTTACTGAAATAGTGAGTGACAGGTGATAGTAACACAGCAGGATCTGGGACAGGGGGTTCTCAAAGTCTTGGCTTTCAGACTATTAAAATATTATTGCTGGATTCAAATGAAATAAAGCCTACTTAAATAATGCTTGATATACAAAAGAAAAATACTTTATTATTCACAAAAAATAGATTTCACAAACATTGTATCTCTTTTTGATAAGATATGATGAGGCTAACTAAATTTCATAAATTCATGGGATTTATGTAACAGTAAGAGAGTGAAATGTTAGTCTGAGCCCACATACAGTATTTTTGTGTCTACGTGCACAATACATTAATGCACAACCATGTGCTTTCAGACGTAGTTATTGCCAAAACCAATAATACTCCAATGCAGAGGCAATATTGTTATACAGTATAAAACATTATTTTATATATTTATATATGTATATTTATATAGTGTTAAAATTACAACCGGCCCTTTGAGGGCAACCATAATGCTGATGTGGCCCGCGATGAAATTGAGTTTGACACCCCTGATCTAGGCTCTTCTGGATGTTTACTACACACCACCTCCACCTTCTTCTCTCCTTTTTCTGTCTCAGATGATCCAGCTTTCTGTCTCTCAGCAAATGAGTCAGCCAGCTCCTTCAGTGTAAAGTTCACCAAAAGAAAATCTTTAAAAGATTTTCTTTTACAAATGGGACAGTTTTTGTTCTTACTTTGTTCCCAGAATTTCTGCAGGCAGCTCGAACAGAAGCTGTGGTTGCAGCCCAGAGACACGGGATCTCTGAAAGTCTCTGAACACACATGGCAGCTCAGGAAACTTTCAAGAAGAACGGTTTTCTCAGCCATTTGATATTAAAGTTATTTTCAATAGCAGTACTCACCAACTTCCAATGTCTCTCCACTTCTCCCCAAATATACTCCAAACGTGTCTCGCAGCAGAGATCTCACACCCTGTAATGGCGTCTCAGCTCTGTTCAACAATATCAAAATCCTCTTTCGTTTTCTCTGCCCTCCGTCGCAGGGTGAATTATCAACATCAGGAAACGCTGCTATGTAATTTATTCACCACCAGATGGAGTCAGGATGTCTTTCAGAGGGACATGTACTTTGGTATTCAGTTCAGGACGATGACTTTGTCCAGGTAGGCCTATCTGTTGGAAGATAAACACATAAGATTTAATACGTTTAAAAAAAAAAAAACGTGATAAAAAGGAAAATGCTCATATATCAAAGTTTGAAGTGCACAGTTTTTGCTCTTACTTTGTTCCCAGAATGTCTGCAGGCAGCTCGAACAGAAGCTGTGGTTGCAGCTCAGAGACACAGGATCTCTGAAAGTCTCTGAGCACACATGGCAGCTCAGGAAACTTCAAGAAGCGGCTCACCTTTTACTTCCCTCGGTTTGCCTCTTACAGTCCTCTAACTGTGCGTTGTTGCACGTTGTTCAGATTTAAGTATTAACAGGATCCAGACACTGCATGAGATAAAGTCATTATCCTTTTATTACTTAAAGTAATATCAACTGTTTATTTAAAGGTGGGGTAGGTAAGTTTGAGAAACCGGCTTGAGATACACTTTTTGTTATATTCCATGGAATGCTCTTAACATCCCGATAGCAATGAATATCTGAAGTGCTTTGACAACAAATCCATAAAAAAATGTCATCTGTGGAAGCCGTAGTACTGTAAAAAGCACAACCAATCATCTGAGCCGGCCCGGCTAAAATGACTGGATGGCCTACCTGCCTGTCAGCCTTCCATCTGTGCACAAACTTATCTCGTGCCCTCATTGGTCATGTGCGCGTTCGTGTGTGTTGGAGGAGGGGCTCTGTAAGGAAGTGGCAGATTTTCTCCGGTTGTGTATTTTCAAATTCCAGCGCACTCGAGCTGGTTTCTCCAAAATCACCTACCCTACCTTTAAGTGTGTGACAATTTAAATGGAACAGGGAGTATGTGTTGGTGTGTTGATCATCAAACTCCACAAGTGTTAGAAAGTTAATAAAATATAACATATTAATAGTAATAACATATGCATTTCATCTTTAATTGTTTTCCTTAAACAGAACAACACCACAGAGGTCTGTCTGGGGTTTAAGAAAATATAACGATAGGCAGAAAGTGAATTACTTTACATCCAAAAGAGTTGTTTTTTGAAACAGCTGCAAACTCGTTTTTGGTAAGAAATAATACAATTGGCAACAAATACCTTTGATTGAGACCACTGAAAGGTGTTGCAGTATTTTATTTGAGAAAACAAGTCGATATTCTAGTTTGCATGCATGTTTTTCTCTCCCCCTACTGTATCTGCTTCAGAATAACTCACCACCTCCTCATTTCCTCCTCCAGAAGCCGCAGACATGTGTGACGATGAAGAGACCACCGCCCTCGTCTGTGACAACGGCTCCGGCCTGGTGAAGGCTGGCTTCGCTGGAGACGATGCTCCCAGAGCCGTCTTCCCTCCATCGTGGGCCGCCCCCGCCACCAGGTACACAAGAGCATCCCTCAAAAACTAAATCATACATAAGATTTGTTCATTTAATCCCTTACAAAAACAAGGTCTGATCCTAAAGTTTTTAGCTACCTTATCTTATATATCAATATACTTATTTCATTATGTGACTGATTAAAAAATCTGCAGTAGTTAAGCAGCGAACCAAGAGGTTAAAGTCACCTTTGTTTCGGTGCTTGGTATACATTTTAACGGTGATTTCTACGACCTTATGACCTTTTATCTGCTGCCACCTTCAGGCCAAAGTATTATTTTTCTAGTTGACTGAAATTAGGACCTATACGAGTAGACATTTTACCATATTGAGTACTTTTTTGATTTGATATGAGTAATTTTTATCTAACTGATAAATACATTTTAATCTCAGCGTATATTTTTTTAGCACAAAGAATGTCCACATGCACAATAGATGGACTAAGGATGTAACTAAGAAATAAAAGTATTTCTCATTTCAAGAGCTTTAGTGGAAAATGAACATAACCTGTGTACTCTCATGTTCCGAATAACCCAGCTTCCCCAAATGTCTTTTTGGTGTCTATCTACGCCGGGATCCTGAGTCGTGGCTGATCCTGTTGCTGTGGTCCTGAGTCCTGGATCCTCTATCCTGAGTCCTGGATCCTCTATCCTGAGTCCTGGATCCTCTATCCTGAGTCCTGGATCCTCTATCCTGAGTCCTGGATCCTCTATCCTGAGTCCTGGATCCTCTATCCTGAGTCCTGGATCCTCTATCCTGAGTCCTGGACCCTCTATCCTGAGTCCTGGATCCTCTATCCTGAGTCCTGGACCCTCTATCCTGAGTCCTGGATCCTCTATCCTGAGTCCTGGACCCTCTATCCTGAGTCCTGGATCCTCTATCCTGAGTCCTGAGTCCTGGACCCTCTATCCTGAGTCCTGGACCCTCTATCCTGAGTTCTGGATTTGAGTCCTGGAGTAGTGTAAATGTAACATTGCTCCTCCATCAAGATGTTGGACTAGAGCCTACATTTCCCAGAATGCAACTTGATATCAACCACTCTGACATTATCAGGGCTATTTTGAGGATAGAAAAACTGCTCTCATACAGATACTTATGTTGCCCTGTAAGTATGTTTGGAGCAGCTGAGTTTTTCTCTAACTCGAGTTGACAAAGGAAGGAATGAGATCAAAGAAAATGAAAAGATTGTCTGAAGAAATATTTTTCTTAATTCTGTTTTAATAATTGGTCAACCAAGTTTCATGATAGTAGAGCAGCTCAAAACAACAGTTAGACTGTGTAGAAGCTGGGTGAAACACTTTCTTTTTAATTATATGTATTTACACTCAAATTCAGCATTCTATGTTTATTCATCTCCCTTTTTCTGACCTAAATCTGTTCTTTCAGAATTTCTAACCTTTTTTTAAATAGTTAACATTTAAAGGGAAATTAAATTATTCTTGGACATAGCGACATGGCTACACTAAAGTCAGATTAGAGATGCAAGAAATCGGGCATAGAGGTTTAAACCGAAACCCCAAATATATATTTATATATTTGTATGATCCTATCAATAACTACATTGATAATGCTGAGATAATGTTTTAAACATAATGAGCAATCATTTCAATGAACATTCAATCAAAGTTGCAAAACGTACTGAATTTGCAGTATCTTCAAAACGCTGACAAACCCAGTATTTAAATTGTTTAACCTTAAATGTCTAAGTGGTTTTGATATGAAATACACACAAACATCTCCTAAAACATAATCGTAAATAATTTAGTTTACTATCATGACATTTAATTAAAAAACCCACCAACAAGTTTCTCCTCATTGCGTTTGCTGACTTTTAAACATTTTATACAATGCACATACAACAGCAAACAGATATGAGGACACACATAGGATTAGTTTCATACATTTTGTTACTAGTACTAAAGTTCCCATTTCTAGTGCATTAAAATAACTTCTGCTAAGCCACACTTTAAAAAGAATTGAGATAATTTTGCCTTTAGTTACCACGTACCAGTGAGGGTGTTGCTGGATTGACAAAATGGCCGACCTGCGCAAAAGATGGGCCTTTTAAAGCTGTGCTCTTAAATACAGGAACTGCCAATCAGAACCAAGTGCCTGCCTCATCATCAATATGGTCTAGCTGCGGCCGCGGCAAGTACACGACACTACACGACACTACACGACACGCCCCCTACACGACACGCCCACATGGCAGATTAAAAGCGAATTGACGACCCTACACGACACGCCCACCTGACACGACACTACGGTGGCTGAGAGATCGTACATGGCAGATTAAAAACGAATTGCAAATGTTATTGTAGCATTTTAAGCAACTATTAGGCAAATACATTAATAACCTAGTCTATCCGTTTGAGACACAACAGTATAACTTTCAACCCTTTATATATATACAGTCTATGCTTTCAACCCAAATCATTTTGTCAACAAACGGTGGTTTAGTAAACTTTTTTAAATATATAAAATAGGTATTAATGAGATAATCTATTAATTATGTTTGTCTAACTGCTACACATGTATTTATACATAAATGTAGATATTTGTGAACATCTAAATATAGTTGTTAAAGGTTTTAAGATATACATAATCACATCATGGGGTCATTAAGGACCAAATTAGGAGGGCCAGTCAGGCCACTAATGAGCTCAATCATTCACATGTATTATTATTACTTTATAAATTAAAAGTACTAGGGGTCTATTACAAAACCTTTGAAGGAATCGTCATGCATTCTGAATGTTTCTGTACTTTAAAAACATCATGGCTCAAGATCCTGTTCTTGTTCAAGATTATTCATACTCATTTGTGAATTTAACATCCATATTCACTCAAAACTGAAACACCAACATTTTTTTTGAAAGCATTGCTGGCCTGAAGCTCCACGTCAGTGACCTATATTTTAATTTCTTCCATCAAACTTTAAAAATGGCAAACAGCATGTTTTTAAAGATTTAATCTTTTAAGAAACAAAATATCAACTTTGAACAGAAGGGTTTAAAAACACGGTTTTAATGCAAATAAACTTGAAACATAAACCTATTTGTCATTTCAAAATTCACTTGTATTGTCTGCGTGAAAGGCACAGTAGGCTATGAGCGAATACATATCAACATTAAAAAAATGACAAAGTCATACAATATATACCATGTGCTACTGTCTAGGATTAAGTATGATGAGATTTTTCAGCCCGTGACCCCCAAAATAACAGTGCCAGAGACTGGGCGACCCCCGACGGTCGCCAGTGATCTGCAGTGTGCTGGGCAGTGTAGCATGTATGCTAACTGGACATGCTCGCTCAGTTAGCATACACATATATATATATATATATATATATATATATATATATATTATTTATGTATTCCATTCCTTTAAATTGAATATTTAAAATACAAATTAGCTAACTAAAGACAATTACACTGCGCTAAACTATGGGGGTTATTCCCTATCTTTATTCAAGAGCGTGGTATTTAAATTTGAGAGCATACTTTATTGATTT